GTTCCTTGGGGCAGGGCAGACCTAGCACTTAATTTAGTGTCAGGTTGAGTCTACATGTGTATTAATGTGGATTAAGTAATCGTGCCTAAATTTGATACCTGCATTTACGGGTATCAAATTTAGGTATGATTAGCTCAAGTTAATTCACATTAAGGGGGAACATGTGTAAACACATACCCATAATGTGCATTAACTTAGGCTAACGCACATTAACACATCTTGTATAGGTGCGCCCAATGAGCAGTCAGATTTATCTAATTCATGGCTGCAAGCTGTCTCGTACACTAATGATAATAGTATAACCATTATTCTTTAAAGAAGCCAGACACAGTGAAGATGGGTCTGTTGTGCTCCCTGTTCTTTACAAAGCCTCAAATGTATGGATTTCTTCCAACTTTCACCTGGATTTTGATTTTAGGGAGGCCTAAAGAGTGAATAGAGAATGAGCCTTTGATGTTAAGTTAAACTGTGCCCACTGTATTAATGGAGTATCTTTGTCTTTCTGTGGCACGGCAACATAGACAGAGTTTGCTTGAAAACCAATCAAAGTCAAATAAAAAAACCCCCAAGCACTTAGCATGTGCAACAAAACAAGACCTTTGTTTTTAATTATTCAAGACACCCAGGAGGTCATCATAATAAGCCCCTCTGTGCCTAATCATAAAATGCATTAGAGTGCCCTGCTTCAGGGTTTAAATGCCAAATAAAAATACATATATACAGTAGCTGTCTCTCTAAAAAAAAAAAAATCCCTTACAGAGGAAGAATGATCAGTTACTCACTTCTAGAGGCAGGTGTGATATACTATTTCTCCCTCTCCATGTTGTGGGGGTAACTGTTTTCCCTGAGTTCTCATACACGCATATGACCTATTTTCCCAGATGCTTGGAAATAGGATGCTAGTCAATCAAAATGCTGACCTCCTCAGGCAGACACTTGCTATTTGTTAATTTGTTCTCACTCTCAGGTTACATTTTACTGGGGAAATGGATATATTTTGTAGAAGATCCTGAAAGATCTTCCTGGATATGAGGTAAAATACAATATTATACAGAGAAATTGGTTGCATCTTATACTTTGGATCAAAATAGGATTCAGTTACAGAGTTCTGCTGCAAAATTTGAGGCTTTTTAGAATCAGGATTCTAGCCAGGATTTCACATTTTAAGTATGGAAACACTGACTGCTATTTTCTCAGGAAGTAGGATAGATGTGTACCTTTATAGACTGACTAAATAAGAAGAGCACAAGCTTTTGTGAACCCAAGTTCACTTCATCATACATGTTTCTCTTCATTACACAGATTGTGCTGGGGAAAAAGAGCTGCCAATGAAAGCTTAACTTAGACCAAGGTATCAGTGAATTTAGAATGTGATCTCCTTCTTTACTGCTTTACAGATTCCTATTAATGCTGCTTATTGAAGGAACTTTTCTTTAACAATAGTCCTAATATCCAATTTGCACAGTGTTGCTGTGGTTCTACTATGTGTCCTGTTGCTGTTATGATGACTGTTATTTGTGTCTACTTTCTGTTGTCATTTATAGCTTAGAGTCCCATTGCGCTAGGAAGCTTGGAAACACATTTAAAAATGTAATAGCAAATGTTAAAAATCATGGTTCTCTACATAGCTGTGAGAGTTGTGAGAAAATACAGGACCTGGTGCACACTAGCTACATGGGTATATAATTGGTGTATGCTGACACAATCTAAGACATACAATTGGTCCTTCAGACTATGTTATACCAGGTTATAGGGGGTTAAGTATTTCCAGCACCATGCTCTGATATAAAGAGAGGTAAGACACCATGCACAGTTAGCACATTGGTACAAAGTTGTAAGGTAGCAACACATTATTCGACAATGGTTTTAGGGTGGGGAATAGTCAAAGACATTGTTGGTTAATGGTGTATTTGGCAGAGGTTCAGTTTCTTCTCTCAGTTTCACTTTTGGCCATTGCTCTGTGGCAGCTGTCTTTATACTTGTGATGGTCCATGAAGTGCTTGAAATGGATGACCTTTTACCACTGGATGTTATTGAATGGTGAGTGCTAGCAGTTTTGCAATCCAGATGGAGAAGACAGGAAGGGGTAACAAAGACCAAAACATTACTAAAATCTGCATGTTATGGGAGTGGGGGTGGTAAATCAGGTCCTTAGCTTTATGCAAAGTTACTTAGGGTTCTGGAGCAGATCCAGGAGATCTCAGTCCTTGGTTTGGGAAAAAATTCTATAGTGTGAGGTCAGACTGAATTGTGTTACAGAAGCCTTATTTCCTGAGGTCCAGGGTCAGTAGTGAAGATAGGCTCCTAAATGTTAAGATGTAGGATTGCTTGTGTACTGTACATAAATCAGACACTGTATAAAATACATAATAATATTAGGAGTTGGAACTAAACCCAGAATTCTTCCCTCTCATGTAAATACCATAAACATTATGCCATGCTCCTACTCCTTCTAATGCTTTCCCTCTAACCCAGTAAGTCTTGAATTGTTTATTTGTTGACGCATCTACATGTGGCTGTATGGCAACAATGCTATGGCAGTGTGCTTTAGTACTTCCTTTTGGAAGTACTAAAGCATAGCTCAGTACTGGTGGTTACTACACCGTGCGCACAGCGCATGCTTAGATTTTGTAGCGACATTACCGTAGTAGTGCGTTATAGCCGGGGAGCGCACTGCTATGGCAACATAGCTGGTGATCACGTGTAGACAGACATGATTGCTACGTTGTTGTAGTGCGACATATGGCAACGTAGCGCATCATTATGTTGCCATAGGGTGATATGTAGATGTGCCCTATTTTTTTTCTGCGGAGTACTACAACTTCAACAAGAATGGTAGAGAATAGCACCCTACTCACATACATTTCCCATACATCTTCTGTACATGCTCACAATGGTCCTTAGCATGGTGGTTACAATACTCTCCTAACTGTAGGATCATGCAAGGGAAGGAACTGGATGCTTCTCCCAGTTTTAGGGCAAGTAATTTAAAGACTAGGATATTAAATAAGAGTATTTACATATTACCACCTCCTCTAGCTATCTTTTTTAAAAAGGTGGTAGCCACTGCTCCATTTTGTTTGGAACTTGATCCTGTCAGTGTGCATTAGGCATGTTTGGAAAACTCTTTCTGGGTCAAGTTCCTTCCGGGGGCGTATTAGAGGGACAGATTGAGCTTAGGTAAGAGTTTGGTTCCAAGCTGTTCAGCCCTGCCAAACTTCTAATCAGCATATGTGCAGGAACAGAACATGGAGGTAATCCCCAGGGCTGCAAAGTCACACAAGCTGCAGTGGTTGAGGAATTTAGGCAACTCTGAGATTAGGCAGCAGGCTGCGTGGCAGATTTCAGGATCATAGCCTTGGCCTTGGTCTCTTAAATTCCACCTTTAGGTATTCAGGTTTTTTTCATAGATCTGATTCTTGGGGAAGAATTATGTTTTACCTAGGGCATAACCAAAATGGAGCTTACAGCCAACTCTGAGTTACCTGACTGAAGTGTCAGAGTGATTTTACTACTCTTTCTGGGCACATAAGTGCCCCTGTTACAGGAATAGGGCTGTTCTCTAGAGATATGTAGACATACCTCTATTCTTATAATAGGGGCACTTATGCACCCACTTAAAGCTCGTTAGGTAACTCAGAGTTAGTCACCAGCTCTACTTCAATCATTCACTCAATGAAACAGAACTCCTCTTTTAGTGTTCACCATGAAAAAAGAGCTTCAAATATAAAACTAGCCTTTCTTTTCCAGGGCAAAATACCCAGACTATTTAGAGCAGGAGAGGACTTCACTTTAATGTTCTTGTTTGGCCCACAACTTATCTTGGAGTGAAAAATTTAATAGAATTAATAATCATTACAATATTCTTAAAATCCACAGTGTAGTGCCTGATTAAAAACATATCATATGAGTGTTGCAGGTAGATGACACTGCACTTGTGTATGAGAGATGATAGACTGCAAAAGGTCTTGACACTAAAAAAGAAGTTTGATGAACTGGGGCAGAGAATGCCACAGGGAGGATCCAGATGTGCAAAAGCCTAACCTTTAAGGTGCTATACCACTTTGCCTCATATATCTTAGCCTGATTTCCTCCTTTATTTCCTCTCTTCCCTTTCCTCGTGCTCCTCTTGAAGGGATTTCTTACTTGTTCTGTTCTCTTACTTCTTGCTTCAGACTGTTTCCTGTGCAAGTTCTTCAAGCATCTTTCATTCTGCCTTCATATCTGCATCTGGTCAGAGCTGCTGGGCTACCTTAGTATGTTATTGAATCTTTTAATATTGGTATTTCCCACAAAGCCATGGCTCCTGGAGTCACATTAACACTTGACAATCTGTCCCCCTCCCTCTCTCATAGCCCACATGATTGGATGTGCCAGGCTGAAAATAAGGCTGATGTAAGTATGAGAAAACAAATATTTAGCCAAGGCTAGTTGAAACTTTTTTAATGAACTATCATTTTCTTTGGAATTTGTTGACCATTTGAGCAGTTGATGTGATTTCAGCTGAGGTTAGTGAAATCTGACTGATTTCCTGTTGCTTCATCTGCCTTGTAGGTGGCTGGGGAACTCATTGCTTCTGGAAGACTTCCTCAGAATTGAAAGTTTCCAGGCATCCAGGGCCTGTGGTTCAGGTGCTCCATTCCATTCCCTTTTTCAAGATTTTCAAAAGTTCAATTTTAATTTCTACTCAGTATTTCAAAATACCAAGAATCTGCCAGGAGATGAAATTACATTAATTCCCATTATTCACAAATCCACAATTATACTTGTGTTGTGTGTGTTTTTTCTTTTTAAAGCATGACGTTTAAACCAACGTTACCAGTTTTGCAGACCTTACTCATAATATTAAAACAGTTTTGGATTAGCAGCACAATAGAGAGATGCAATGAGAATTAGTGAACAGATCTGGGACACAACGAAGACATTGTGTGTATCCAAAAGGATGCTCTGAAAGGAGATTGAATTTGTATCTCAGGGATGAAATCGATGGTATCAGAACTATGCAATATACTATTAGTGAGTATTCAATATAAAGAAGCCAGCTAATGAGCTTCAGAAATTACAGGAGTATTTTACTATAGATATACCTTTTCAAAGCACCATTGCTAACTGGAAACTTTATAATCAATATGAATTACATTAAGGAAAGCAGATTTCTACGTTTCCAAGGCCTCTTTTACAGCCTCACTCATCATGAAAAATGAGTGTAAACTAATTCAGAACCTTGTCCAACATGTTTATAGCTTGTTTCTGGGCATATATCCAAACCAAATGGTGTAATTCGTATTTATTTCATGCAATGATCTTTTTTTTTCCTTTTGTACTGATCACATTTTTTATCCCAGCAGGTATGCTATCTTTTAATATCATATAAATGGCTGCAGGGAATCACTCAGTGGTGACACATTTCATCCTCCTGGGCCTAACTGATCGTCCAGAAATGCAGGTCCCCCTGTTTGTGGTGTTCCTGGTGGTCTATATTTTCACTGTGGTGGGGAATCTTGGAATGATTGCATTGGTCTGGATTGATCCTCAACTTCACACTCCCATGTATTTCTTTCTCAGTAATTTATCTGTGGTAGATCTGTGCTATTCCTCTGTCTTTGCTCCAAGGATGCTGCTGAATTTAGTGGAGAGTAAAACTATTTCATACTCTGCATGCATTTTCCAGCATTTCTCTTTTGTTGTGTTTGTGACCACAGAAGGATTCTTGCTGGCAGCAATGGCATATGACCGCTACGTAGCTATCTGTAACCCACTGCTTTATACTGTGGTTATGTCCAGGAGAGTCTGTATTCAGCTAGTGGTGGGATCATACATTGGTGGGCTCATCAACTCTTTGACACACACATGTGGCCTACTGAGGCTGTCATTCTGTGGGCCCAATGTCATCAACCATTATTTTTGTGACACTAATCCATTACTGAAACTCACCTGCTCTAATGACCACATCAATGAAATTCTGCTTGTAACCTTTTCTGGAGTTATTGCCATGTCCACTCTCTTGATTGTTGTCATTTCCTACATGTACATTCTCTTCTCCATCTTGAGGATCCATTCAACTGAAGGTAAATGTAAAGCCTTTTCCACCTGTGCTTCCCACCTCACTGCTGTCACCATGTTCTATGGGCCTGTAAGTTTAAGTCACATACAACCCAGTTCCAGCTACTCACTGGAACAGGAGAAGGTCTCAGCCGTATTTTATACTCTGATTGTCCCCATGATGAACCCCCTCATCTACAGCATGAGAAACAAGGAAGTGAAGGATACATTTAAGAAGATGATACAATGGAGAAAATGTTTTCAGTTAATGTGCTTATGAAGTTGATTCTAATCGATTAATAAAAAAAGTATAATAATTTGTTTAAAAAAGAGAGGAGGACTATGGGCTTCATTTTGTTGCCTTGATTTACATACCTTACATATGTTCAGGATTTAATTGAAGCTTAAAAATCTGAATCAGGGGCCTGAGGTACTGGGGGGGGGG